CAAAGAGAGCAATTTTGGATCGTCGGCCGGGTCTTCTCCTGAAGACCGGTTCGCGCGGAACTTTTGACAAATTGCTCGCGCTTCCGCGTTTCGAAATGGCGCAATTTACGTGCGATTAGAAAAAGGCACACCGGACGCAGGGATGCGCGACGCACGAGAATGACCGCGATGTAAATCCCGCGAGCGTTATTTATTATTTCGCGTTAGCATCGCGTATTAACGGCGCTAATATATTTGAACAACCGTAGGTGCCGCTCGCGGGCTTAAGCGCGGTTTATTCATGACGCTATTAAGCGCGTGATGCGACGCAGTGCGGTTTGCGCGGTGCGGCCACTAATTTCGCGAGAGCAGCGTTTAAAAGAAATAAAAGTTGTAAAAGTTATCCCCTTATAAAAAGAAGAGATCACATTGTCGTTATGTCATTATATTTAATAATTCCCGCAATAATCTTCATTTTATAATAGATACAAAAATGCGAGAATAATCTTTGAAGACCCACTTCCATAAATATGGAAAGAACACGTGCTCAGAAGACGCATGAATTTTTTTTTCAAATCTACATTCTACGCTTCAGCTAAAAATAAAACGAAATGAAAAAAGTCGACTCTCCCAAAGTTATGCTCGAAGAATCGATAGTTTCGGTAGTTAGCGGTAGCTTCGGAACACGCGGTTGGAAGAGCGACGAAGATATCGACCAGAATGGAAAACGCTTATAAGGCCGTGGGGCCCGTTTTCGAGACGCGGATGTACACCTGTTGAGTCCCTGACTCACGTTGCTCGATCCCCGCGGCGTTCCGCGACGCGTCTTGAAGGAGAAGGAGGGAAGAACGGGCTCCTTCATTTTCGTTCCCCGTTCCTTCTCCTCGTACCCCTGCCGCCAGTCGCAGCTTCTTCCATGATGAATGCCGCTCGGCCGAACATCGTTTATCATTATACGTCTATTATCGAAACTATGATTGTCGGAATTAATCACGTGGCCGGAGAAAGGAGATTACTACGGACACGGTTTCCGATTCAATCCGGGGACAAGCTTTTTTTTTCATCTTCATAACTGTACCGATGTCACACGGTAAAAATATTTCTGTAATCTAGAAATCTATTATAGTTGAATTATATATCATTGCATATATATTATATGACCAGAGTTTCTTTTTTTACAAAAAATTAGTTTTGACTATGCTCGCAACATCAAGTTCGAAAAATTTGTTAAATTACTCGAATAAGTGGACGCGCGCTATTTTTAAACAGTAATTCTGCAGCATCCACGTGGATCCGGCGGCGTCTAGTGACGTTTCATCATTCATAGCGGCGCCCAGATTGGAGACATTGTGCGTACGGGTTTGTATGTGTTTTCCAATGCGTCCGACGCAGCGGTCGGTCGTGCGTGCTGGTGCATATAAAACGCGCGGACAGGTCGCATATATGAGCGTTCGTCGCATGTGAATCGTATAATCGAGTTCATAGAGTTGCATTGACGATGGTCGAGGAGAAATTATTGAGAACGAACAAGGATAAGCCGACGAGAGAGAGAGGATGTACTCGAACGATCTGTTGTAAGGATGGAGAGAAAGAGAAAGAGAGAAAGAAGAGATCTCGAGTCGCACGAGAAGAGAGAACGGGAGAGAAAGAGATGCGTAGTCGGAGAAAGGAGATACAAAACACACCGTTCGAAGATGCATACAGCTCCAGGGAGAAGATTGTGCAAAAGCTCGACTGTATATATGTATATACATTCGCCGATGGCTTCCCGTGCTATTATGCCACTACTGGAGAGAGAAGAGAGACGGAGAAAGAGATACGCTCGTATATTCCTTCTCACATCGGTATTGAAATTAGAAGCGGGGAAAGTCGACGACGAGAGACGATCACAACGTTTGACGTTGCTGCTATCACAACCGCATCACGTTTGCGTAAACTGGGTCGCTATTAGAAAACTCTTGCGATTGCCGGCGATATCCGCGTATGTAACTTATCGAAAGTTAGACCGCGGAGGAACCTCGTCTAATCCTCCGGGTAATAAAACGTCGAATGTTACATACATGTGTTTCTTCATATGTGTCTAATGGATTCAACGATCCAATTATTGTACGATGATGAGATTTGGATGTTTGAAACTTCGAGGTGTGCTTGAATAACAATTTTCGTATATACGATTGGTGATTCGCGTTATACGATCTGAGAAATCATTTTCGGGTTTCGAGCGTTGCGGAAAGCGTGACGCGTGAATTAAAGCACGCGCGATGATTCGTCCAGTACTGATGAGAATCGGGGGATTTATATCGGTGAGAAGAAGAAATATCTACCGTGAATATATTTTCTCGAACCAGTCGCTGAACGCAGGTGGCATTCGGTAGCCCGTGCGCGCAAGCGTTCGCCGTTCACTCGCGTCGACGAGGGACGAGATTATATATACCGTATTCAATCAGCGGAGATGATAATGACGGCATTATCCGCGCAAAGAACGATGAAAGTCAAGCGGTTTACCGTTTTTCGAGCTAGGTAGCACGTGAAAACGGTTGTATAGCTATTACACG